AGAAATGAAAAAGCAGTTTATTATTACTTGCCACTTACTGAAAATAATCTTTTTTAAGTAGAGAAGGAAAAGAGTTTAGAAACAGCACAAGGTATATATAGATGTTTGCGAGAAGTCATGCTCATTTTGTTAAGGTAGTTACTGGTTTTTTTGAAGAGTGAAGGTATAAGCTGCAGGAGAAGGGAAGAGGCATGGGATGCTTTATTTCATATGAATACCAGTATTCATATGAAAGAACCCCAGGAAATAAAGTTGCTCTTTAAGTTCCTTCTTGTTCTTTAAATTCCTCGTTCCATGTTGCAGTCCTGTCACTCTGCTGTTGGAGGAAGATTTCCTTTACTAACTGTGTGATTCTTCATGTAGAATAGATATGGGAGAGTACTTCTGGTCTGGTTAGACTATAAACCCCCAAGAGGGTAGGGAATTTGTTTTGCTCACTACTTCATCCTCAGAGCCTGAAACAGTACCTGACAGGTAATAGGAACCCAAGAAATATCTGTTGAGTAAATTAATAAAAGAACTGTAAAATAAAAGTAAGTGTCACTATATGAGTGGACCTGGAGAGTAAGGTGACTGCAACATCCTCACAATGAAAATATTTTCTTTTTTATCCAGAGATCACATTCTTACCTAAAATAGTGTGGTGTGTAGAAATATTATGGGCACTAGATTAGACAGGCATGGATCCCATCTTTATCTTCTAAAAGCTTGGACGTGTTTCTTAGCCTTAGTTTCATTTTCTGAAAGATTGGATTAGTAATAATGTACTTTGCAGAATTACTGTGTATTTGTATACGGTATATAAAGTACTCAGCATAGTAGCATAGTATGTCTTCAACCAAAGGAGGATCTCATTTATTCCTGTTTTCCTTAGTGGTTATAAGTCTAGACACTGGAGACAAATCTAGTTAACAATAATCAGTTTTACAGATGGGAAAAATAAAAAGAAATTGGATCTTTCCAATATGAATCAAAACAGAAATTTCCAATGTGAAAGGCAAAACTGTTAAGAGAAGATGTTTGTGACTTCAGAATGGGGAAGGATTTCTTAAAACAAGAGGCAAAAAGCACTATAAGGAAAGGGTTGATAAATATGACTACATTAAAATTAATTAACAACAGACACCATAAAGAGTAAAAAGATGAGCCACGGAGTGGGAGAATAATCACACAGAACTGTCAGAATATGTGAAGAGTTCCTTCAAATCAATACATAAGGAAGACAACCCAGTAGGAAAATGACTTGAGAAGGCACTTCTCAAAGAAGGAACCCAGGGGTCAGTAAACATAAGAAAAGGCATTCAGCCTCACTTTAATTGGGAGATATAAATTAAAACACAGGGGTATGTCATTACACACTAGAGTTGCAGGAATTTAAAAACCCACTGTCACTGAGTACTTAGAGCCATGCTTGTGGGATGTGTGTTGATATAACCACCTTGAGAAGGTTGGACATTAATTGTATGCTTTGAAAGTTGGATATATAATGTTCACCCTGACCTCAGCTAGATTGACATGTCTTTGGCTTGTAGCAATTCCTGAAGGTTTGCACTGCAATCCGTGATCAAGACTATGATGGCAAGTGTTACTAGAGGTCAGAGGGTATAGTAGTGTCTGGTGCGCCAAGCTGGAATAAGCAAATTCCTTCTGCTTTGGTGTTAGAGGTGTGGGCTTAAAGTTCTAATTTTTTTTTTTTTACTTTGTCCTTTATTAATGACTGTGTTTTAAATGTTAGAAATTCCCAACTTTATTTTCTTTTACTGCTAAAAGTAGGGTGCTAGAAAGTCAGTATTCTAAATCAAAGAAAAACAACTATAGTATATTGTTCTTGATGAAATAAGTCTTCCCTACTGTATGTCTTGCTGTCTGAAGAAGAAAAATGAGAAGCAAACAATTATAAGCATTTTCTTATTTTTATAATCGTTTCATTTAAAAAATAAAAGGAAAAAAACCTCACCTAAAGTATACAATTTATTGGTTTTCAGTGTATTTATAGGGTAGTGGAACCATCACGATAATCTAATTTTAGAACATTTTCATTATTCCAGAAAAAAAGCCTTGTACCCATAGCAGTTATGCCCTTTCCCTGCTTCTTCAGCCTAAGGCAACCACTAATTTACTTTCTGTCTCTCTAGATTTGCCTATGCTGGATATTTTGTGTAAATGATATAATATGTGGTCTTTTGGGCCTGGCATTAATTTAGCATAAAGTTTTCGAAGTTCATCCAGTATCAGTATTTCATTTCTTTTTATTACCAGATAATAGTCTACTTTATGGCTGTATCACATTTTATTTATCTACTCATCAGTTGATGAACATTTGGGTTATTTCTACATTTTGGCTGTTGTCAGGAATGCTGCTGTGAACATTTCTATACAAGTTTTTGTGTGGACATTTGTTTTCATTTCCCTTGGGTCTATACCTAGGAGTGGAACTGCTGGGTCTTATGGTAACTCTGTGTTTAACTTTTTGAAGAACTGCCAAACTGTTTTTCAAATTGCCTGTACCATTTTCCATTGTGGTTTCTCCACATTCTTGACAGCACTTGTTATTCTCTATTTTTTCTTATGATAACCGTTTTTATAGTTTTAACTGGGCTGTTGCAAATTAAAATACAGTGAGGTATTTTTTGTTTTTGTTTTTCTTTTTTTTTCCTTTGGACACGATCTCTTTCACCTGTCGCCCAGGCTGGAGTGCAGTGGTATGATCTTGGCTCACTGCAACCTCTGTGTCCTGGGTTCAAGTGATCCTTCCACTCAGACTCCTGAGTAGCTGGGACTACAGGTATATGCCATCATGCCTAGCTAATGTTTTGCACAGACGAGATTTCACCGTTTTGTCCAGGCTGGTCTGCCACTCCTAGGCCCAAACCATCTGCCTGCCTCAACCTCCCAAAGTGCTGGGATTACAGGCGTGAACCACTGCTCCCAGCCCTATTACTTTTTATATAACTCAAACATGATTCTGGTTTTTTAAATGACATTTGTTGAAGGGGGGTTGCTTTATGCTTTCATTTTGCGGGTCCTCCAGTTTCATAATTTATCTTAGCTGTATTAACATTTATGCTGACTGTGTCTGTATTCATTCACTGACTCCATCATACACTGAGGGCCTGTCCTTTAGAGTCTAGTCCCAAGAGAGCTTAGGACTCACCCCTGTCAGGGACTGTGACATCTGATTTTGTGTTGCAAAAATAAAGAATATTGTAAAAATAGCTTATAAGGTACTCTAAATGTACTACTGTTGGTCCCCAGAGCTTTTTACAAAGATCTGTTATCAGTAACAGCTATCAGATATGTTTCTTATTGTCAGTTGATTCACTACGTGGTGGTTCTAAAAAATAATTTTTTTTTTTAATACAGGGTCTTACTCTGTCACCCAGGCTGGGGGACAGTGGTGTGATCACGGCTCACTGCAAAGTTGACCTCCTGGCCTCAAGCAATTCTCCTGCCTCTGCCTCAGCCTCCCAAGTGCTGGCATTAGAGGCGTGAGCCACTGTGTCTGGCCTAAAAACTTTCTAAGAAGTGGTCTCAGTTCTTTCCTGAATTGAGGTTTTAGGACATTCAGTGAACTGTCTAAGAAGAAATGACAGAAGATGAGGAAATCCATTTTGGGAAAAGTGTTACATGTAAAGATTTTATTTTTGAATGGCAGGCAGCTCGGTATCTTGGTAAAAGAATTTAGGTTATGGATTTGGCTGTCATTTACTAGTTGTGTGATATTGGACAAGTTAAGTAACTTCTTTGAGTCTCCCATTTCCTGACCTTTAAAATGGGAATATTTTAAATGCTGGTGGGATGAAAGAGGTATCATATCACATTGTGCCTACTGTAGTGAGCACCTGAGTGTCAGCTCTCTTCCTCCCTGATTGTGAGGCAGTTAATTGAAAGAAAATGATTCTTGGCCAGGAGCGGTGTCTCATGCTTGTAATCCCAGCATTTGTGGAGGCTGAGGTGGCGGATCACCTGGGGTCAGGAGTATGAGACCAGCCTGACCAACATGGTGAAACCCTGTCTCTACTAAAAATACAAAAATTAGCTGGTTGTGGTGGCAGGTACCCATAATCCCAGCTACTTGGGAGGCTGAGACAGGAGAATCGCTTGAACCCAGGAGGCAGAGGTTGTAGTGAGCCGATATTGTGCCATTGCACTCCAGCCTGGGTGACAGAGTGAGACTTTGTCTCAAAAAAAAAAAAAAAGATTCTTTATATATAAACTATGTTCTTTCTTGAAGTCATTAAAGTTACTATTAATGGATTATTATCTAATAGTAACAAAATGATGACAGCATTTTGGCCAGAGCAAACATAGTAATATAATAATTTCCTAGAATGTGAAAAAAATTGATTCCAGCTAGTAGTGGATAGAAAAGTGAATTTAGCAGAAAACTACCTCTGGTCTATTTTGAACAACTTAGCGATACAATACCACTAAGAGCTATACTCAAGATGTCATATTCTTAGCTGGGCACAGTGGCTCATGCCTGTAGTCCTAGCACTTTGGGAGACCGAGGTGGGTGGATCACCTGAGGTCAAGACCAGCCTGGCCAACATGGTGAAACCCCATCTTAAAAAAAAAAAATTAAAAAAAAAATGTCACATTCTTTTGCCAATTCTAGGTTTACCTGTTCTTTTCTGTCCCTTTAGAAGAGTTTACTCTTTAGGTGAAGGATTGAAGAATGATTACCCTTACCATTTTGAGTATAAACTAGTGCATAAATTGTAACTTAGCAAGTTTCGTGGATGAATTGTATTATTTCCACTTAGGGCTCAGCACTGGAAATATTGATGAAAATATTTTCCATTGAAGCAGCAAGTGTTTTTGCCAACAGTGTAATCAAATCCAGTAGCTCCACAATTCCTATAGCAGATTTTCAGATGATTGTGATTGTCTTTTAGATACTATATTTTTCAAAATATGGTTTACAATTTGGGAAGGGTAGTATGAAATATTTATAATTTTTATGTTTTTTTTGTATTTTTGTTATTAGTCTCTTTAGCATTCAGTTTTGAGAGATGTTAGCTTTTCACCTACAAAGCAGGTGGAATATGCTCCAATCAGTATATGTTAATTTGTTATATTTATAGCTGAACTAGATTTGCTGGTGATGGAAATTGAGCCTGCAAAAGCTAAAGTATGTCTTCCATTTTTCCATAATTGCATTACCTTGAATCATATGATATGTAGGCCCTAACCTTTGACTTTTGGGTTTGTTGCTCAGTGTTTTTCTGTTGCTAAAATAAGCAAAGGATTAGGAGGACTCACTACTGCAAGGCACTTCTATCCTTTTTAGCAGCCACTCAACCTTTGCTGCCCAGCTACCTAACTGCCTACTTCTCATTCACTGCCTTCAGTTTGTATCTATCCTTTCTTTACTCAACCACCCACATCATAGCCTTGACTTCCACCACACAACTGGAAATCTCTCCCAGAGGGTGCCAGTGACCTTTGCAGTGGCAAGTCCAGTGTCCTTTCTTTTCCCAGTCTTTATTCTCTTGAATTTCCTTTCATGTTTGGCTTTGTCATTGGTGTACTCCTCTTTGTGAGAGGAAGCTTTCTAGGTTTCCTACCTCTCAATTTTTTTCTCTATTTAATTTATACAAAGTGGCTCATGTAGTGGCTGGCACAGAGATGCTTAAAAAGTGTTAGTTGCGGCCGGGCGTGGTGGCTCAAGCCTGTAATCCCGGCACTTTGGGAGGCCGAGACGGGTGGATCACGTGGTCGAGAGATCGAGACCATCCTGGTCAACATGGTGAAACCCCGTCTCTACTAAAAATACAAAAAATTAGCTGGGCATGGTAGTGCGTGCCTGTAATCCCAGCTACTTGGGAGGCTGAGGCAGGAGTATTGCCTGAACCCAGGAGGCGGAGGTTGCGGTGAGCCAAGATCGTGCCATTGCACTCCAGCCTGGGTAACAAGAGCGAAACTCCGCCTCGGAAAAAAAAAAAAAAGTGTTAGTTGCTTTCTTTTTTTGTGGTCTCTCCTTCATTCTCTGTTCATTTCTCCGTGAGTTTTTCTGATTAGTAACTACCTGCAGCATGCTGGTTGACTTGTAAACCTACAATTCAACCTTTCTTACACTGTCATCTGACAGCAGCCTGGTTTGCAGCTGATTCCAGGGTGGCCTACTCTAATCATCCCAGAGTTCACTAGTCATGATGAATGCACCAGTCTTTTACACTTCCCCACTCCCAAACCTCAGTTCTTCTTAACTACTATCCCAGTATTATCAGTGGCACCAGTATTTATTTTCCTTTTCACATGCTAGAATTTGGAGTCATTTTTTATTTTTTCTCTCATTTCCTACTTTGAAATGTCTCTTAGGCTCAGTCCTTCAACACCATTCTGATGGTGGCTTCTCTGCTCTAAGCTCACAGCCTTTGATCCCTGGGCTACTCTGACACGCTCCTGCTGGTCTGCCTCTGGTCCTAACTGCCCTTTAATTGAGTATAATATGTAGCACTCCTGAAGTCTTACTGTTTGGTGCTGTTTGTTTACTATAGAACATTTATGTATTATATGCCCTCTTCTGTGTAGCCTTGTTATCTGTACCAGCAGACTGATCCCTCCTGCCACCTTACACATGAGCATGCTTTCCATCCTGCCCCTTGCTGAGCTGGTGCCAGCCTCATGCCTGCCTTGGTACCTTTTGCGTGCTACTTGGCCTGCGGGAAATGCTTTCCACCCTTTCCTCTACCTTTCCAAGGTTCTGTCTGTCCTTGAAGATGAAATTTATGCCTTTCTTTTGGTAAAGCTGTTTGCAGCTGTTTTGACCCACGGTGAACTCTCCCTTTTGTGTAGCTAATTTTGAAAAGCTGTGCATTTCAGAAATTTCCCTAGTGATTCTATCTGTAACTGTAAAATCCTTTAGGGCAAGACTGAGCTTTGTATTGGGCTCCTCAGTCATCCCCCTGGGTAGTGCCAAGAACAAAGGAGGTACTTAGTAGTAGATGGAGGCAAGCTGCTCCAGGCTGGTAAAGAAGCATTGTAAACATGCTGGTTTTTAAACCTTGTTGGTAAATACCGAATGGAAGACAGTTCTGAAGATACAGATATCAAATAGATGTTTATAAGCTTAGTGGCCTTTCCCTGGGATGGTCTTTTATTTGGTGTCATTTTGTTGATATAGTATAACAAATAATTGTGGAATTAAAATTCAGTGGAGAAGCTTTGGGCAAATTACTGTATTTAAACATGTTTTATACGTTCTATATATACAGAGATGTTTGTCACTTTCTCAGTCAGCTACTGTAAAACAAATACTGTGCTATAAATTACATGTCATTACAGACACACTGTGAATGTCATCTTACTTTGAAACATGGCTTCACACTTACCCCTTTATGCATTTTCCCCATCTATATTGTGTAAAGAATGTTAAGAACATTTCTTGTATAATTTTTTTTTTTTTTTTGAGACAGAGTCTTGCTCCATTGCCAGGCACCAGGCCAGAGTGCAGTGGCGCAATTTCAGCTCACTGAAACCTTCACCTCCTGGGTTCAAGGAATTCTCCTGCCTTAGCCTCCCGAGTAGCTGGGACTACAGGCGCGTGCCACCATGCCCAGCTAATTTTTGTATTTTTAGTAGAGACAGGGTTTCACCATGTTGGTCAGGATGGTCTTGATCTGTTGACCTCGTGATCCACCCACCTCAACCTCCCAAAGTGCTGGAATTACAGGCGTGAGCCACTGCGTCCGGCTGGTATAATATTCTTTCTGCCATTCACTTTCCCCTCCCAAAATCATCCCTGGACTAGAAAGGGCTTACCAACCCCACAGAGGGTTCAGTTAGGACCCATGAGCTACTTTCCCCTGGCCTGGCAGTCATGTTCGGTCACTGCCCAGCTATTCCCTCTTGATGCCTTTGTCTCCCTTTGTCCTCCCCTGGGATAGGTAGCTCAGGCTTCCAGCACTGCATCCCCTTGCACTTCTTGTAGTAGGAGCAATGAAGAGCTGGAATAGCTTTCTGGTTGGTCTCCCTTTGCCCAACGATGTTTCACTTGCTTGTTTGTTGAGAATGAGAGACTCCATTTGAGTTTCTTTTTTCTTTCTCCTTTACTACTTAAAACATTCTTCCTTTTCATTATGGTTGCTTGCCTTTAGCTCCTTTCCTATTGGCTTGAGGCAAAGGGATCATGTTTTAAGTCTCTGTAGCTGCTACATAGTGGAGTATAGAAACCAAGTATAGTTGACCTTGAACAACACAGGTCAAATCACACAGGTCCACTTTATGTGTCTCTGCCACCCCTGAGACAGCAAGACCAACCCATCTTCTTCCTTCTCAGCCTACTCAGTGTGAAGGCCATGAGGATGAAAACCTTTATGGTAATCCATTCCACTTAGTAAATAGTAAATATATTTTCTCTTCCGTATAATTCTCCTAATATTTTCTTTTCTCTAGCTTATTTTATTGTAAGAATACAGTGTGTAATACATATACAAAATGTGTTAATCCATGTTTATATTATTAGTAAGGCTTCTGGTCAGCTGTAGGCTATTAGTAATTAAGTTTTGGGGAGTCAAAAGTTATATGCAGATTTCTTCCAGGGAGGGCAGTTGGTAATTCTAATACCTGTGTTGTTCAAGGGTCACTTGTATATATTTGTTGAATGAATAAGTGATTCACATGTTTAAAACCCAAACTTACTGAAAGTAGGGGATTATATTATCTAGCACCAGATTTCTTCCTGCCCTTGTATTCTCCTATATTCTCAGCAGATTAACTATTTTGGTGGTTGAAAATGAGGAATTCTTTCTTTTTTTCTTTTCTTTTCTTTTTTTTTTGAGATAGAGTCTCTGGAGTGCAGTGGTATGATCTCATCTCACTGCAACCTCCGCCTCCTGGGTTCAAGCGATTCTCCTGCCTCAGCCTCCTGAGTAGCTAGGATTACAGGCATGTGCCACCACCCACCTGGCTAATTTTTGTATTTTTAGTAGAGAAGGGGTTTCACCATGTTGGCCAGGCTGGTCTCGAGCTCCTGACCTCAAGTGATCTGCCCACCTCCGCCTCCCAAAGTTCTGGGATTACAGGCGTGAGCTACCATGCCTGGACAAAAAGTAGTATTCTTGCTTCCTGTTTTTTCTTTTTAAATTTTCTTCCTTTTTATAGAGACAGGGTCTTGCCATGTTGCCCAGGTTGATCTCAAATTCCTGGGCTCAAATAATCCTCCCACCTCAAGCCTCCCAAGTAGTTGGAATTACAGGCATGAGCCACCATGCCCAGTTGATATTCTCACTTTACAGAGTAGGATATTAAGACCCAATAGGGTTAAAAAAAAAATCTTCCTAGGGTCATGAAATTCGTATGTGATGAACTAGAGTTTGAAGTCAATGTTACTATATGGAAAGCCTGGATTTTCTTTTTTGTTATGCAGCACTATTTTATACTGCTTTCCCAGTGACCAAATGGAAGACTTATTTAGTACTTTTATAAAGAGGATATTCTTGGCCGGGCGCGGTGGCTCAAGCCTGTAATCCCAGCACTTTGGGAGGCCGAGACGGGTGGATCACGAGGTCAAGAGATCGGGACCATCCTGGTCACCATGGTGAAACCCCGTCTCTACTAAAAAAAATACAAAAAATTAGCTGGGCATGGTGGCGCACGCCTGTAATCCCAGCTACTCGGGAGGCTGAGGCAGGAGAATTGCCTGAACCCAGGAGGCGGAGGTTGCGGTGAGCCGAGATAGCGCCATTGCACTCCAGCCTGGGTAACAAGAGCAAAACTCCGTCTCAAAAAAAAAAAAAAAAAAAGAGGATATTCTTGTTGGAAAGAGTGTATGTATTTGTATTAAGATTGTATTCATTGCTTTCATTATGGAGAGATACTAACCATTAAAAATATTTTTTGAAAGCTTTTGAAACAGTGAAAAACAGAAAAGTTAGAAGTGCAGTAGAGAAAACTTCTATTTTCTTCTCTAGAACCTTTGGCAATAAGTTGTCCACCTGATGCCCCATCACTCTGGGATTACCCTAGTGCGTGTATTTCCAATGGCAAGGACATTCTTCTATATGAGTACAACATAATCATCAAAAGCAGAAAATTGACATTGACCCATTATATTACCATCAAATACTACTCAGACCTCATTCAAGTTTGACCAATAGTCCCAATAAAGTCCTCCCAGCCCCTTTTCCCACTGCTTTTTTTTTTTTTCTTTCTTTCTTTCTTTTTTTGGACAAGCAAAAGGATTCAGTTCAGATTTATGTGCTTTGCATTTAGTTGTGGAGTCTTTCTCGGCTTTCTTTTGACTTTCATGGTCTTGATGGACTGGAAATTTTAAGCCAGTTATTTTGCAGCCTGTCCCTCAGTTTGGGTTTGTCTGATGTTTTCTCGTGATTAAACTCAGGTTGCATGTCTTTGGCAGGAATATCACAGAAATAATGCTATGTCTTACTGCCTCCTAATAGGTGACGTATAATTTGAATTGTTTGCATTTTTCCACTGCTAAATTATTCTTCCATTTGTAGTTAATTGGTATTTTATGGATAAGTATTCCAAACTATGTAACTATCTCATTCTTCATCACATTTTCAATTTATTGATTTATTAATTTATATTAATATGAACTAATGTTTTTTATTTTAATCAAGGAGCTATACAGTCTTTTATTATTTATATTGCTGCTTAAATTGTCTCAGATTTGGCCAGTGGGAGCCCCTTCCAGCTCCTTCTTTCTCCTTTTGACATGTCTCCATTCTTGGAGCATTTTCTTGTTTTCTGGCACAAGTGGTCTAGGCCAGAATAATTTCTCAACTCTGGGACTGTAGGTACTCATATGTGTGGTTATTTGTCTCAACATACATTCCATTCTGCAAAGAAATAGAACATGTTTGAAAAAATAATTATCAAATACTGACCCCTTTTGGTCCTTAGTCTAATATATCACTTAGAATGACTTTGATAGAACTATGAAGGTGGCAGGCAGCCTGATATTCCTTTTTGTGTATTTTTCCTTTTTCCTGCCTAGTGGGGGAAATGAGTCTTGCCTAGGAAGTGCTAAGTAGAAGTATTAAAATTGTCAAAACCTTTTCTTTGTTAGAACAATCACTGAAAACAGACACAAAAAGCCCCCAAACACTTTTGATTGAAAAAGCATTTCAGTATCATTGAAACAAGAGTGGGAGCGGGGATATGCTCCTCACCCATCTTTCACATATTTAGTGAGCATGTGTCTACTGGGGTCAGGGACTGTGGCTCTTCATGAGGCAGCCAGGGCTATAAAGGCAAACAAAATTCAGTGTGGTCCCTGCATACCCTCATGGAGCTTACGGTCCACTAGTTTAAGAGAAAAAGCCATAAAATGAAACATGGAATGATGGTCATAAAGGGAACTGCTCTGAGCAGCAATTCCTCGCTTGTGAAATATAGCAAATGTACTACTTTACAAATTGTTCTGAGGGTAAAATGAGATTATATAAGCAAAAGTCCTTTGTAAACTGTAGAAGGTTACATAAATGAAGTACTTTCTTCTCTTGGTGTTTGCAGGGGATTGGTTCCAGGACTCCTCCATATCCAAAATTCATAGATGCTCAAGTCCCTTATATAAAATGATGTAATATTTGGATATAACCTACACACATCCTCCTGTATACTTTAAATCATCTCTGCATTACTTGCAGTACTGAATATAATGTAAATACTGTGTAAATAGTTGCTACACTATTTTTTATTTAACATATTGTTGTTGTTCTTGTTTTGTTTTTGTTTTTCCCTGTATTCCTCTATTCAGTTTCAGTTGCCACAATGAGACAGAAAGCACAAAGACATGTTTTTCTTGAATCTATAGTGGAAACCTTAGCAACAGATTGGATAATAACTGCTTCAGGTCTGGCAAATAGATGCATATGTATTGTTGTTTTTTTTCCCTAAATATTTTTGATCCACTGTTGGTTGAACCTGTGGATGTGGAGGACCTACTGTATATTTTTCACATCACTCCATCTTGTGGTGTCTGGACTCTTTTTACGATTGCTAAGGTAAACAAGCCCTGAGAACTAACCTCCAGGCTCTTCCACCCCACTCCATCCTGCACATCACTCTCTGATTTCTATATGTGCACTGCTGTCATTTTCATCCCATTCAGAAGCCTTGAGTTTAAAGTTCAAACTCTTGATATATAAGGCCTCCAGGCTAACCCCAATCTAGCTTTTCAATCTTCTATTGTTACTTGCCTTGAAGTGATCTCTCACTATGCTTCTGCCAGTGGGCTAATCAACTTCTTCAGGCAGCAGCATGAAGGCAGAGTCCAATAAACTTGTTGGAGCTTAGCCAACATCTGCTGTGACTTCTCCTTCTCGTCCCTCCTCCAGAGGGTCTGCACTGTACAGTCCTGCCTGCCCTGCTGAGAGCGCCTTCTGGTTGCAGGCTTGGACCACACGCTCTTTCGGAAGGCTGGTCTGGAATTGCTACTCTCTCCTGCTTCATGCATGTCCTCCCTCCCTTTGTCTTACAATTGACTGAAGTGATTCTGTGCAGCTGATTTTTCTGACCCAGGTTCACATTGTTTACATCCCAGGTAGAAAAATAAAGATGACACAAAGGAGAAAAAAATACCCCAGCCAAATTCGTCTAGTCACTGTGCCTGAAACACCTATTGTGTGTTCTCATCTGTATGCTTTTACTTTTATCCTCCTGCCTGGAATTCTCTTCCCCCACTCTGTTTCAAATTTAAATCGCAGCTGGGGGCCATGGCTCCTTTCTGTAATCACAACACTTTGGAAGGCCAAGGTGGGAGGATCATTTGAGGCCAGGAGTTTGAGACCAGCCTGGGCAACATAGTAAGATCCAACCCTGTTTCTACAAAAACAATTAGCGGAGTGTGCTGGCATTCATCTGTAGTCCTAGCTATTTGGGAGGATAAGGTAGGAGGATCATTCGGGCCCAGGAGTTTAAGGCTGTTGTGAGCTATGATTGTACTACTGCACTTTGGCCTGGGTGACAGCGTGATACCCTGTCTCTTAAACAAAAAAGCCACATGGCTTAAACCCCCCTTCACTTTACTCACATCGTGCGTACAGTCTATTCAGAGCATTTGGTAGTCATTTGTCATCTTAAGTTGCTGTTAGGTTTTTCCAACTGGCATGAATACTCTCAAAGTGTAGGGACTGTTTGTAACGTGTTTATATTTCCCATTTTTATGTAGTCTTGAATAAGTTTTTGCTGGTTGATAAGAAAAGTGACCTGACTGCATTCAGACCAACTCCCAAGAATTTAAAAAGAACTCCTGATTTTCCAAAACTACAAAGTAATAAATAAACTGAATTTACACTGGAAGAAAAGCATTATTAAACTTTATACCAGTTGTGCATTTCGTGAAAAGTTGCAGCTTATCTGACTTGTTTCTCCTCTAAGCAGAAGATAAACACCTTCGTATTGTGAATGTAGTATTGTCAAGAAGGAAACCTCTAACTTGAGACAGTCGTGTTCCCTTGTCATCCTTTCTGGTTCCAGGGATGGCTGCTTCACTCAACAGATGTGTGTGTTGGCTGGCATCAGCATGGAGGCCCCATGTTACAGGTGAATGATCATGCTCCTGAAGGAATCGGGGGCTTAAGATGGAGAACTTTACATTTCTCTTTGTACACAAGAAGTTGTGTCTCAAAATTTCAGAAATCTACCATTTGGTTAGCTACCGTAATTAAAAGTGAAAATCAGAATAAAGCCACCTAGGTCATTAAATGCAATTCTTTAAAGAAGAAAGAAAGAAATGTTCCTGAGTACCATGAAGGTAAAGTATTTTGTGCCATGAGAACATGAAATGAGGAAATATGAATTTGTTTCGGTAACTGAATATGATCTAATAATTGATGAAATTCCTTTTTGAGTTAAAACCTCATATCTATAAGTTTAAAAGATGAATTTCCAGTGACCATGTTTTTCTCCCTTACCATTCTAGCTTCAGCACTCATTGTTGAAGGAGTAGGTTGTTAAGGAAAAGAATTGTTAGGAATTGGAAATATCCAGCTAATGGTGATGATCTTATAGTCATTCCGTACTTGTTAAGTATTGTTGATTTCTCAAAGATTTCTAAGATACAAAACGTATTTCAGATGTAGTGTCATGTAATTTTTGGACATTAGTCATGAGAATTGCCTCTCACACTGCTGAAATGCAGCAGTTTCTTTTCTTTCTTTTTTTAAACTTTCCTATGGTACTCACTGAAATGCAGCAGTTTCTTCAGCAGAGTAGTAGCATCCATGAATATAACGCTGTCAGTTACCATGTGCTCTTTAATTTCTGTGTTTACAACAATTAATGATGATGCTACTGCTTCTGTGGCATGCGCTCTGAGAATGCTGATTTGTTACTGTAATTTTATGGCTTACTTTTTATTATGGAGGTATTTAGACATATGGAAAAGCAGAACATCCTGTTATTTGGTTCCCACAATTGTCAACACATAGCCCACTTGTTTTATCTACACTTTGCTGTCGTGTACATTCACAATTTTGCCTCCCTCATTGCATTGTTTTATAGAAAATCTCAAGTATTATATCACTTCATAAATTCAGTATCTCTAAAATGATGACTTTTTAAGCCATAATACCTTGATGACATTTAAAATGAATAATTCCTTAATAGTAAATATCTAGTTGTATCATCATTATTTTAAATTCTCTATCATGTGAAGAATGTGTTTTAATTGTGGTATTGGTTGTGATTCATAACGTATACTTTTGAAATTGAAGTATAGAAAGAATAACCCTGTTTCTGGAATGAAAAATTTAAACACTATAATTTTTTATAATTTTTTTTTTTTTTTTTTTTGAGACAGAGTCCTACTCTGTCACTCAGGCTGGAGTGCAGTGACACTATCTCAGCTCACTGCAACCTCTGCCTCCTGCGTTCAAGGGATCCTCCCACCTTAGCTTCCCAAGTAGCTGGGATTACAAGCATGTGCCACCATACCTGTCTAATTTTTGTATTTTTAGCAGTATCGGCGTTTCACCACGTTGGCCAGGCGGGTCTCAAACTCCTGACCTCAAGTTATCCAATGGCTTTGGCCAAGACCAGAGAGGGGTGAAAAACAATAACTAGAAATCTTCATATAATATCAGTCTTGGTTAATTTTAAGTTACATTATATTCTCTCATTGCTTTGAAATGTAATGAATATCGTATCACTTGTTGAAAGAAAGAGGAGACTGTTTTGAAAATTTCTGCTTCGAGTTTAAGCAGGCTGGTGCTGAGCAGGTGTTGAGTTTGTGAGCTCTTGAGCCCAGTGACTCTAGGGTTTTGGATGGTAGTCTGTGGCCTTGGACTATGAGGTTAGCACCCTGGTGGCAGGATTAGTGCTCACTTCAGCCTTGACCTCCTGGGCTTACGTGATCCTCCAGCCTCTGGCTCTCCAAGTAGCTGGGACCACAATCATGAGCTACCACGCCTGGCAAATTTTTTACAATTTTTTTTTTTTTTAAGAGATGGGATCTCCTAGGTTGCCCAGGCTGGTCTCAAACTTACGGGCCCGAGTGGTCATCCTGCTTTGGCCTTCTGAAGTGCTGGAATTATAGGCGTGGCCACTGTGCCTGGCTTTTTCTATACTTGTTTCTTTCCTTTGCTAGAGCAGTGTGGTTCCTCTTTTAGAAATGAAGAGCTGCTTGCTGTGAGGGCACAGTAAGTGTGAGCTGACATCTACTTACTGCTGGATTCAAGATGCTTGAAAACAAAACTCTTCTGTTTGGGGATGACCTGAGGATTTAAGAAAAATGAAGAATGATAGAACCTTTTCTTTTTTTGAAGAGTTGGAGTCTCACTCTGTTGCACATGCTAAAGTTACACATGATGATGGCTCACTGCAACCTTGAGTTCCTGGACTCAAGCAGCCCTTCTGTGTCAGCTTCTCTAGTAGCTAGGACTACAGGTGTATACCACCACACCTAGCTAACTAAAAATCATTTTTTAAGACAGGGTCTCACTATGTTTCCTAGGCTGAAATAACCTTAATATTTATATGTACTTGTTAATGTAGTATAGAACCTTACCTCCCATGTTGATGGTATTAATTTGGGAAAGAAAGGGGGTCTATGATCACTTGTAAAGAATTTTGTCCTTGGAATTTTGTGTGGTTCTTTTCTGTTTTTGACTTGTTAGGGAGAATGTCAAGCATATATAAAAGTAGACTAAACAGTGAGATGAACATCCAAATATTCATTATTCAAAGATTGTTTCTGTAATAAACTCACAACCAATGCTGTTTCATCTCATTTCTTCCTTTCATATTATTTTTTTCTTTTTAAGCATTTGCAGGAACTTATTTACCCAACCACTTATTGGTGAATATTTGAATATTAAACCATTTTTTTAAATGTTGTAATTAATACTCTTTCTTTCTTTGTGGTCTTGTATGAGTTTCTTAAAGGTAAATTCCTAGGAGGGATGTTGGGTGAAAGAGCTTGCATTATGCATGTTTTCATTTTTGTAAATTTCTTCCATTTTTGAGATGTCATCACATTGCTTTCCAACAAACCTGTACTAATTTACGTGTTTGCTGAATTCTCTCACTTTTAGTCTTTCACCTTGAATCACTGTTACTTTCTTTTTCTTTTATATATGTGCATATATGTAATATATGTATATATAGGCATGTATGTATGTATATAGTTCCTTTTCAAATATTTGAGAATTTACTGCAGACATTATGACCTAGTACTAATACTTTAGTGTACATCTCTAAGAATAAAACATATTCCTAACGTAATTGTGTGATCACAATACAGTGATCATACTTTTAAAACTTAAAAAAAAATTCCAAATATCAGGTGGTTTTATTGGTAAATATTTTAGTATGCCAAACATTAAGGATTCTTTGTTAAAACATAAGCAAAATACTATTTTTTTTAACGCTTTCAAAGAGAAAGGCATTGCCAAAAAAAAAAAAAAGTGGCTTAAGAGAAAAAAACATTACAAAGGGAGGAATGAGACCAAAGTGTCATGTATGCTTAAAGCAGCAAGCAAAAAACTCCGAAAAAAATTAAAAACCTCAAGATGCTTGAATGTCATGGGCCATAGGGTCTCCCTTGGCGTTTAGAGCTTGGGGGGGGTCCATGATGTAGAGGAGCAGCCACTCACTGTGCCTCCTACCCTGCTGCCTGGGCGGAAATGTAACATGGCACAGGCTGCCTGGGGGCTCACTCTCAGGGAGTCATGTTAAGTGGCCACTCAGTGTGGCCCACTCCCCTCACGACCTTTGGCCAGTGCCATCCACAGCAGTGGTTGGGGGCAAGGACACGAACTCCTGTCTTCTTGGGCCCTTGAACATAGCATCAAGATGTGGCTTGCCCTCTGGAAGCTGGAGAGATACACCAAGAGGTCACCGGCCAAGGCTTTTTTGCCTCCCCTGTGATTTCCTGAGCTCCTTGACTCCCTCAGCTCAACCCGGAAGCAGCTCTCCCAGAATCCAGCCTTCCTGCCCCACCCAGGAATGCAGGGCCAGGCCAGGACTAGCTGTGGTGCGTGGGTGGCTCCTCCCCGCAGGCCTGGTCAGAAGAGAGGGTGGGTGGCGGTTCCTCTCCCAGCCTGCAGGCCTGCGCTTGGCCTCCTTCACATGGAGCTCCAGGAGCCTTTGGTGAGCTGCTTTACCTCACGAACTCCCTGGCCCAGCAGCCAGCGGTGAGGTCCTTGCGCGGCCCGGCTTTTCTCTGGCACCAGAGCAGGCCGCTGTCAGCGAAGGCCTGGATTTCCATGACGGCCTCTGTGCTGGAGGTCCTCCATCAAGAGGCGCCGCCGCAGGACCTGGGTGAAGAGCACGTCCTTGGGCGGCCCCGGCTCACGCGTGGAGGACGAGGGGTAAGAAGAGATGGCGGGGCCGAGGGCGGCTCGCGATAGAGCCAGTCTAGTACCCAGCTTGCACGCCAGCTGGATTCTCCCTCCGTGGTGGTGTGGGGCCGCCAGGGCAGCGCCGCAGCCTCTAGGTGTAGGGAGGACTCCCAGCGCCGGCGCCAGGCCATCAACAGCCAGGCGAGCAGCGCTGCGCAGCCGTCGCCCTGCGGGCCCTTGCAGTGGTAGTTGAAGTCGTTGTGGACCAGTCAGGTTGCCCTGCAGCACCAGCTCCCCAGGGTTGAGGGACAGGGCTGGCCCCCCGGTCATAATGCCTGCAGGACCCAGGAGATCACGAGTTCCTTGGGGTTCTTTCTGAAGCGCCAAGATGGCGAAGAGCGGAAATAGTGTAGCACGAACAGAACCAATCCCTCGGCCCAGGTTGGTGGGTGCTGGCGCTTTTTTAGCTATGGCTGCCCCACCCCTAGGTAGGAAACAGCAGCGACCCTGGGGGTAGGAAACTGCAGAGACCCTGGAGGGACCCTTCAAGAGCGAGAGCGATTGGCTGGGCCCTTCAGCCCCTGGGAACCGCCACGATGGGGGCATGGTGAATGGCGCTCAGCTTGAAGCTGCACCCAGTCTTTACTTTCTCTCCAAGGCATCAGCAAAATACTATTATTGATCTACATTTTTCTCTTATGAACACTAAAATCTATGCAGAGCTCAGTTCTCATTGTTAGACATGCTATAATTTAAAATTTT